GTCACTCTTTCTTCCTAGTCTGTCTTTGTTTGGAAGCTCATCTGAAACCTGTCCACCATGGGTGACCCTGCTGATTATTTAAAATACTGGTGGCATAGCCCTCAGAATCACAGCAATTCAAACCACCACAGCACGACAGACAGACAAGTGGCGGTTGTGTGGTCGCTGTTAAACACAAATCTCCGGCTCAAAGGTGGGATTTCCATCCTCAGATGTCACGTCAGTCAAGAGGCAGAAGCGCAGTAGGGGCGACAGTGTTGTAGTGAGACACTTTGGGCTGCGCTTGTGGTTCTCTAAGTTGGTCAAGCCTGCTGCAAAGCCACAATCCAATGGCTAGGCTGGGATGGTGTCCTCGCGTCCCGGGTAAGTAGGACAGCCTGGCTGGCCGCTGCAGTCTCTTCCCACTAGGTAGTGTCCCCCCGTCGACCTGGTCTCCAGACACTCTCATCCCACCACTCCGCGATCTGGGTTTCATTTAACACCTCCACCAGGTCTGCACAGCTCTCGCACATCATTCAGCTGCTGCCCCCTCCATTAAAATGGGTACATACCCATTTGATTTCAGTGAAATGAAAACATGTGTCCACACCAGCAGTATTTGTAGCAGCCAAAAAGTAGACACAACCTAAATGATCATCAACTGATGAGTGGATAAATAAAACATGCCATATAAAGAAGAATTCCTGGTGTGGCGTTGTTGGATCAGCACTGGACTGTGAACCACAAGGTCAGCAGTTCAAACCCACCAGGTGCTCCTCGGAAACCCTATACAGGCTCACTATGAACCAGAATTGATTTGATGGTATTTAACAGAAGCTGGGTTCTATGAAGAAAAACGTGGCATCAGGATTGGAGGAAGACTCATTAACAACCTGCGATATGCTGATGAAACAACCTTGATCGCTGAAAGTGAAGAGGACTTGAAACGTTTACTTATGAAGATCAAAGAGCACAGCCTTCGATATGGATTACATCTCAATGTCAAAACAAAAATCCTCACCACTGGACCAATAAACAACATTCTTATCAATGGAGAAAGATTGAAGTTGTAAAGGACTTCATTCTTCTTGGATCAACTATCAACACTCGTGGAAGCAGCGGTCAGGAGATCAGACAGCGTATTGCACTGGGCAAATCTGCTGCACAGGAACTTTTTAAAGTATTGAAGAGCAGAGATGTCAGCTTGAGGACTAAGATGCGCCTGACCCAGGCCATGGTGTTTTCAATAGCCTCATATGGATGCGAAAGCTGGACAGTGAATAAGGAAGATCATAGAAGAATTGATGCCTTTGAGTTGTGGTGTTGGAGGAGAATACTGAAAGTGCCATGGACTGCCAAAAGAACCAATAGATCTGTTTTCGAAGAAGTGCAGCCAGAGTGCTCCTTTGAGGCCAGGATAGCTAAGCTTCGTCTCTCCTACTTTGGACATATTGTCCGGAGGAAACAATCGTTGGAGAAGGATATCATGTTGGGTAAGGTGGAGGGTCAGAGAAAACGAGGAAGACCTCTAATGAGATGGATTGGCCGGTGGCATCATTGATGGACTCAAGTGTGGCAGCAGTAGTGAGGTTGGCCCAGGATCGGACTTTGTTTTGTTCTGCTGTGCATGGGGTCGCTATGAGTCGGTTCTGACTCGATGGCACCTGACAACAACAACAGCAACAACATATAAAGAATAACTTCTTTATTCTTCAAACCCTTCTTGCAGTGAATAATTTAGTCAGAATTTGCTCACATCTTAAAGGAACTGTTCTATATTTGCCTAGGTTAAGCTACTTTGGAGACTGTACTGCTCTCCTTAGATTTCCATAATGAAGTGCTACCAAGTTAATGGATTAAAACAAGACACAATTATTGTTTCACAGTTTTGGAGGTCGGGAATTAAATTGTATGGTGTCAGCAGGGCCATGTTCTCTCTGAAAGCTCTAAGGGCAGACCCTCTTTTGCTTCTTCTTAGAGTCTGGTTTTTGTTGTTAAGTGCTGTTGTGTTGGTTCCAGCTCATAGCAAACCTTGTATAGGGTTTCCAAGAAGTGTTGGGTGAGTTCCAAGGAATTTGTGGTTTGAACCGACTTTGTGATCCAGTGCTTTCTCCCACAGGACTTGAAGTATAAATAACAGTCTACCAGGTAGACAGAGTGGGGAGAACACTCTAACTTAAAGGTACATTATGTGCAAAGGCCCTGAGACATGAGAGAATCTATATTGGAAGCTACAAGTAAATGAGTGTTTCAGCATCAAGTGAATATGGGGAAGCGGGTAGACAGGTAGGTCAAGACATTTATATGACATATAAAGGAGTTGGTATTATATTGGAAGTGCAGATCCACTGAAGAATTTTGAGCAAGGAAATAACGACAGATTTATATACTAAAAAGAAACTTTCGCTGTCACATGTAAAATGCATTAGAAGGTAATGAGAAAGAAGGAGGGAGACAAACAAGGAGGCTACTAGAATAGTCTGATCATGCGATGATAAGTCAGTGAATTAGGACATGAAACAAGGGGTACAGCGTAATGAGAAAGGGATTAGGAAGTAGAATCGATAAGACTTGATTGGTTTATTAGTATTTTATCACTATCATTAACAAATGACCCCAAATTTATCAACTTAGAATTTTACAAATTTACTAATCTTACAAGTCAGAAATCAGACACCAGTCTCGCTGAACTAAACTCAAGGTCTCAGCAGACTGCACCCTTTTGGAGGCTCTAGGGGAGAAGTTGTTTCCTTGCTCAAATCAGGTTGTTGGCAGAATTCAGTTCCTTGCCTTTTCAGAACTGAGGTCCTCATTTCCTTGTTGGGTATCATCTGAAGCCCTCTCCTAGAGACCACCTACATTCCTTTACTCCTACCTCCCTTTGTCTATCTTCAGAACCAACAATGATAGATCAAGTTAGTTTCTTGTGTCACATCTCTTCTGGTTTCTAGAGTCTCTTGTTTTTGACTCCCTCTCTTCTGTGCTAAAAGACTCATGTGATTAAGTGAGGCCCATTCAGATAACCCCAAACAATCTATCCATCTCCAGCCTCTTAACCTTAACCTCATCAGCAAAATCCCTTTTGCCATGAAAGGTAAATATATTTATTGATTCTAAAGATTAGGATGTGGTCATCTTGGGAGAGTGAGGGAATATTATTCTACCTTCTACAACTGGTGTGGGAATATAGGGGTTAAGGAAGAATGTAGATTCGAGTTTTGTACTTCAGCAATGAGTGGAATGCACCTTTAGGATTGAAAGATGAGCTTGGATTTGAATATGCTAATTTCAAAATGTCTCTGAGAAGTCAAAATGGAACAATCTAGCAAGTAATTGGAGTCCTGGTGTGGCACTGTAGAATAAGCACTGGACTGCTAACTGCAAGTTTTGTGGTTCAAGCCCATCAGCTGCTCCTTGGAAACCCTATATAGGGTCACTGTGGTTCAGATCCAACTCGATGGCACTTAAAAACAATAAATAGTTGGATGCACTGGCCAAAAGGTAGAGAAGCAGGTAATGTAGATGAAGAAGTTGTCAATATTATAGGCGTGAAACTTCAGTGAGTGTGTAGAATGAGAAGAGAATAGGGCTAAGATTGGAATCCTGGGAATCAATAATATTTTAGGTGCATTAAGGGAAGAGATAATCACTAAAGAACTTGAAGTCTTACCTGCATGGTTTCTAGGGGTCTCTGTGCCTTTTGGCACGTATCTCCTTTTCTCTATCTGACCTATTAACATATTTTTTGTCTACCTGTGGTTTCTGTCTCCTAAATTGTCACCTGCACATTGCCCACCTAGGACTCTCTAGATTTTGTCTTGATATTGGATCTTTCAGCTTCAACTTCCTTTACTAAAGACCTTCGTTCTCTTAGTATTTTTCAGTTCAAAGTAAAACAAAACAACAACAAAACCTTCTAAGACAATCTGATTGGCCCAGGTTATCCTATGAGTCGTGTCATGGCATAGGTCACCAGACTGAATTAGGACCAGCTGTGGCTAGGTCAAGAAACCATGCTGGTCCAATCAACTGCTTCTCTATTTCAAGGACTAGAACGAATTCAATGAGATTGTTCAGCAAACAATTTTGTTTTATGGAGGTTTTGGGGGAAGAGGTTAACTTGAACTCCATTGTATTGGCTGGACCCAGGATTATAATGTCAAAATGGACCTGTCTTCACCATGTCCCTTTTCTCCATGCCTCACTCAGCCCTTACAGTGTCTATGTGTTGTTGTTGTTAGGTGCCATCGAGTCGGCACCGACTTAAGCCACTCATAGCATCAAATATAGCCTGATCCTGGGCTAACCATACAATTGTTGCCACACTTGAGCCCATTGATGCTGCCTCTTTGCCAGTCCATCTCGCTGGGGGTCTTCCTCTTTTTCTCTGACACTCCACCTTACCAAACATGATATCCTTCTCCAGTGACTGGTCCCTCCTGACAATATGTCCAAAGTATGAAAGACTAAGTTTGGCCATCCAAGGAGCACTCTGGCTACACTTCTTCCAACATAGATCTGTTGGTTCTTTTGGCAGCCCATAGTAGGGGACCATTTTTATGGGAATTGTATTTTAAGTCCAAACCACAGTACTAATATCAAGGCAGGCAAATGCAAATCAAATTTCATCATTTTCCTGAGTTAACAAATCTCTTTTCAACATTGCTTTGGTAGGTGTATAAATATTGTTCAGATGAGAGCTAGCTATTGAGAGTCCTAAGTCTTCCACTCACTCACCATTCACACACTCTTCACCCATACACACAGGAAAGTATACAACATACTGACCCTTACATCATGCTGAATATGCAGCATCTCCTCTCCTCTTGAGGACAGACCCCCTGGGCAGGATTGCAGTTTACATCTGTAGGGTAGACAGGAGCAAAAAATTATCATTATTGCTATTTGGTATTCTTTCTGGATTACAAGAGGTTTGGGATCTATATTGGTATTCCAAACACAGTCCTGTAAAGTCTTCAAATTCTGTTTGGTTTCAGTTACCCATAGATAACCATCTTTCCCAAGATCTCAATTTACTGAACCAAAATATGATGGACGGACTCCAGGAAAGGAAGGGCATCTACACTGTCTAAGTCAACTTCCTCTGTGTCTAGCTTCAAAGAACAGACTCCCTTATGTGGGCTACAAGTGGAACCACAGAGGACTGGGGGTGGCCTGGGTGAGCGATGATGTGTTGTTGCTCTCCCCTGTAACCTCTGTAGACCTTCAGACTGCAGGGTGGTTCATTCCTGCCAGTCTTTTCTGCTGAGAACCAGGGACTAGAAACAAAAAGGGTTAGAGTTCTCTACAGTATAGTGGACACTCTCCATTGATTTCTCCACTGGACCCTTGCCAGTGTGTTCTCTAATCAACAATGATCCTTTGCAGCAGAAGGACATCCCTCCATGTTAAACTGACGAGCCCACTAGTGTTTGTTCTTGTCAAGTTCTCTCACTCTGATGGTCTAATGTGAAACACTTGGCAGCTAACAGAAAGGTTGACAGTTTTGAACCCATTGGCAACTACACAGGAGAAAAGACCTAATGATCTGCTCCTGTAAAGGTTACAGCCTTGAAAGCCCTATGGGGCATTCTACTCCGTCCTGTAGCATCACTATGAATCAACTTGACAGCACACAACAACAGGAAGTCACTGTCTACTAATGGCTTTTGGCAATGATTGACTGCGTTGGGAGTGAATTAAGTCTTTTACACAGTAGATTAGCAGAATGAAATGAGAAGAAAATATGGCACAATCAAGGAAATAACAAGCCCTGGGTAGGGTTGTAGATGTAGAGGATCTAGGATATCTGTTCATGGAGAGATACAGAATGAAGGTCCACAGAGGACAGCTGCGACGCATGTCACGTACGCCCTCAAACAACTGTCAGTACGTACGAACAAGGCAGCTAAACTAGTATTGAGGGGGAAGTTTTGTGATGATATTTACATTATTTAAAAACATGCAAAGGGAAGAGTAAGGCAACTACTGCTGAGTGGAATGGATGAGATAAAGAAGAAGCCTCCAAAATAATTAAGGGACATAACTCAGCTACTGTTCTTTCTAACTGTGTGTACAGATAATGTTCCTTTTGGTCTTTGAATCAGAAAGATCTGAAGGACCAATACATGCTGTGGTGCAAGAAGTAAATCATGTATTTCCTCTCTTTCTCTTTCTCTTATCCCTTCCCACCTGCTCTTATGCTAGTAACAAAAGAATGATCAAACTTACCTTCTAAATTACTTAAGTTCTTTGAACCAGACATTTTTACACTTCTGTGATTTGGCGCATATTGTTTCTGAGAACTGAGATGGCTTCCCTTTCTTCTATCTTGAAAACTCCAATCCAAATCAATTTTTAGGGGCTAATTCAAGTTCATTTGTAAATATTTTGGAACTTCCAGATTGGATAAATTGTGCCTGAAGTATATTCCCACAAATATATGTGCTTCTATTATATCACCTACCAAATTGTGTTTCACTCTGAAATATTACCTGACTCAGTTAATAACTGAGTGCTTAAAGAAGATGAAAGTTTATTTATTTTTCCTGTAAAATAACTCTAGAGGGAAGCAGGCTAGAGTAATTAATGGTAGCTTCACAACGTCATCCACAGCTCATCTGTCAGTTTGCAGTACTGTGGTAGATTGCATGTTGCTATGATACTGGGAGCTATGCCATAAATATTTTAAATACAAACAGGGTCACCCATGGTTTCAGCTAAAGTTCCAGACTAAGACAGACTAGGAAGAAGGAGAGGAGGACTACTTCTGAATGTTTAACCACTGGAAACCTCTCAGCACCAGAATATTGAATATTGAAACATGATGAATAGCACCAGAATGTTGTCAGATATACTGCCAGAAGATGAGCCCCTCAGGTTGAAAGGCACTCAAAATACAACTGGGGAAGAGCTGCTTCCTCAAAATAGAGTTGACTGTAATGAGGAAACTGAAGCTCTGAGGACCTTCATTTGCTGATGGGACACAATTCAACATGAGGATAAACACCTATAAAAATCCATTAATAATCAGAACATAAAATTATGAAGTATGAATCTAGGAAAATTGGAAGTTGTCAAAAATGAAGTAGAATGCATAAAGATCAATATCCTAGGCATTAGTGAGCTGCAATGGCCTGGGGTTGGCCATTTTGAATCTGACAATCATGTGGTTTACTATGCTGGGAATGACAAAGAGGAATGGCACTATATTCATCATCAAAAAGAACATTTCAAGATTTACCTTGAAATACAACACTGTGATAATATAATATTGATACACCTAC